TGCTTCTAGTCTTTCTACCCAGGCTCTTTCAAACCAGGTTCTGCCCAAATGGAGAAGAGCTGAACTCTTTTTTTTTTTTTTTTAAAGATTTTATTTTTTTTTTTTTAAGATTTTATTGATTTGAGAAAGAGAGCAGGAGAGGGGGGAGGGTCAGAGGGAGAAGCAGGCTCCCCACTGAGCAGGGAGCCTGATGTGGGACCTGATCCTGGGACTCCAGGATTATGACCTGAGCTGAAGGCAGTCACTTAGCCAACTGAGCCACCCAGGTGCCCACTTTGTTACTCTTTTTACAAGACCTAATCTGATGTTGCTATTTTTCCTCATACCGGGGGGGAAAAAATTTCACCAACTCAGAATTGTTCTTCTTTTTGTACAGTCATGTATTTTTTTTATTCAGGGTTCTGAACAAGGTTCAACCAGTCAAGAACAGGCCTTATCTGCTCAGCACGCTGCTGTTATTAACCTTGCTGGAGTAGGAAGTTTTATGCAATCACAGGCAGCTGGTTGGTATCTTTATACCTTCATATGTTGAATTTACTAAAAATAACTGATCACATAGGGATCTCAATATTTTAATTATTTCTTTTCCTTCTCTTAGGAGCAGTAACTGAGGAAAAAATATGGTTCTGTTTAATGCATGAACTATTAAGTTGGTTGATGGCCCTGAGATTTTTTTTGTTCATTTGACAGTTGATTAAAAATGTTTTTACCTACATATATTAATAGCAGTTGGGTTTTCCTCACATTACAGTTGGTAAAATTTTATATAGTTATCCAACTTACTAGGAAGCTACCAAAGCTGTTAAATCTTAGTTCTCCCAGGTTATTGAGACTGCATTTTTCTTGATTGCATGTCTTTGGTCTCATTGTGGTAGCTTGCAATTGCATGAAAATCAAGACTTACTGGTCAGCATAACTTTTATAAGCCACTTTTATCGTTTGTCAAAAAAAATGGCATTATACTAAATGACTGCTCACCACTTCTAGCAGTAAATGGTGAACCAAAGATTTACCATTAATGAAGATACCTTGTCACTTAAAGACAGCAATTATAACATTAAAAGTCACTAAGCCACATGTGTAAGTAAGCTATGATAGAGTTTGAGGATTGAGTGAACAAACATAATGTCAACGTTTTGAATTATCACTGGGCTTACTGTCATAGCTCTACAGCTCCCAGTGTCTGAATTTAGAATAAGCAGCGTCTTAAATAATGCCGTACTTCGAGCTTGTGAATTTCCAAATGGAAATTTGTGATCATAAGCCTTTACCACTCAAGTTAAAAATCTCCTAAAGTGGCTGTTGTACATTTTAGTGGAAAGAATTGTAGGCTGAAAAATCATGAGAATGTTTCTAGCTCTAGACCTGTCAATAATTACTTTTGAGTGAATCACTCAGACCGTCTTGGCCTGGAATTTTTTCATCTGTACATTGAGAGGGTTAAACTGATTACTCTGGTCCCCCTCAGCTTGAAAAGAAATAGAATATTGAAGTCTCAGTTCACCACCATTGTTGGCTAGTAGTGTAGTCTGAAACTCACTGCAGCATATTTTGTTTAAAGCACTTGTCCATCAGTTTTGTCATAATGGGGGTTTGGACTTCTCCCACTCCCTTTCCTACTTCATTGATTAGATTTTAAACAACATACTGTATTTTACATTTTTGCAAGAAAGCCTTCTCAACAAAACACTAGTATCAAATTTCACTGTGTTGGAAGAAAAGGGATATAGTGCTTTGGCACCTGGGCACTCCCTTCCCTTTCATATCCAGGAGGTTCTGTAATCAGTGGTACCCTCAACTAACAGGAGACTATACTAAATTTATTCTGAAATGTCTGTGATTTGATACTTAAGATTAATCATACTGATAACTTTTCTATTATTTCATTTTCTGTGTTGTCCTTTTCTAACCCTGGTAGCCTTCAAACTTTTTGACTGGCCTGCTTTCCCCTTCTCCTCTCTGTAGTGTTGTCTCAGCTTGGCTCTGCCGAGAACAGACCTGAGCAAAGCCTTCCTCAGCAGAGATTCCAGCTCTCCTCTGCCTTTCAACAGCAGCAGCAACAGATACAAGTAATCCAGCAACTTCACTCTGATTACATTTTTAAAGATACTCTGCTCCAAAAGTACTTCAACATAGCTTACTCTAGTTTTATTTTACTGTCTTTTAAGACTATACAATAGTAGGTAAATAATTTAGCAAATTTTACTTAAAAGTCTGACATTTTAGCCAGTCAACTTGGAGCACTGAACATATCTTGTACATTTAAGCCATACTCTTCCTAATTTAAAATCTTTCATGAAGTGCTGGTGGCACATTAACATATTTTGTAGTTTCCAGTATTTTTTGAAACAGAGACAGTTTTAAGTGCCAATGGTTAACTTTTTGATAATGCACTGCAGAAAAAGGCAAGTATACCAGTGTTCCTATTAGTAAATGTCATATCTGTTTTAGAAAAATGTTATTCCATGATTGTAGGAAGTCCGCATATTATAGTTGACTATCTTTGGTATGCAGGGTGGTTTTATATTGCTATAAACTATCATACAACAAAATAGTAACTGAAGTTGCTGAGTTACTACAGTATAGACTGGCAGGGCAAAGTAACAAATATTTTTGAAGTTTACCAAGAACCCATTTTTAAAGCCCTCAGCAGCAGGCTTCTGTGCCACTGGTGCTGTTTGACTGTGCATTGTCTCAGTGTGATATAGTCCCTTTTTGTTATCTTGGTGCTTTCTCCCTTTCAGTTTTGTTGTTTTCATCTCTCAGGAAAAGCACCTTTCCATACTTGCCTACCTTTAACATAACTTGACTTTTTTTTCCCCTCCCTTTTGCAGCAGTTGCGATTCTTGCAGCATCAAATGGCTATGGCAGCAGCAGCAGCACAAACAGCTCAGCTACATCGTCATCGGCATACAGGCAGCCAGTCAAAAAGTAAAATGAAGAGAGGCACGCCAACCACTCCAAAATTCTGAGTCTTGCTTTTCTTTTTTTTTTTCTCTTTCTTAAAACCATAAGAGCATTGAATCAAAGGATTCTGAGTTTCTACTTCATTTTTTGGTTTTGTTTTTTTAAATGTGTCAGTATTTTACATTGCTAGATGTACAAACTTTATACAAAAGCACAACCCTATGATTTTTAATTAAAAACAGGGAGATGGTTTAACGAACCATTAGGGTTGGTTTGCCTAAGTCATTGCTTTTTAAAAATGGTTTCACTGTACATACTACATACGGAAGTGACCTAAGAAATACTAGAAACATCTTTCTGAAGAATGTAGTTTGATATTTATTTAGTATAAAAGGTTTGTGCACAGTGTAACAAATACAGTTTTTACAAATCCGTTTTGAAAATGTGGTGGTTGTTTATTTGGGTTTCATGCTCTTAATTACTTCGTCCATCAGTTTTTTTACTTCTTTGTGTCTGGTAACTGCTCGACTCATACAGTCCTGAAGTTTAGCTCCAGTCAGCCCACTTCCACCTGAAAAATTATTGTGACAACACTTTAAATGTCTATTATTTTACTTGTTAAAAAATAAAAAAAATCAACATCAAGTTATAATACAAAAAATTCAATAATGTAAGCCAGTGAAACTGTTTCAAGATTTGCAAATTCTGTTTTAACAAGCCCTGCAAGTGATTCTGATGCATACCGTAAGTTTAAGAACCACTGGCAGACAATATAGAAAAGTAAGGAATTTGAGATAACAAAGAAACTGCAGTAAACAGTAAAACCTCTCACGTTCCATTTGGCCCTCCCTAATACAAAGAAGCTCACACTGAGTTTTACTTTACATGTTTAGGGTTAAAATGGAAGGAACATGCCTGGTTTGTGAAGACAACATAGCTTGCCTTCCTCATCCATTACTACTGTTAAGGTTCCAGTTGCCAGATGTTCCTCCTCTCCAGTAGGGTCAACTATGAGCAGAGTGCTATTTAAAATACAAGAAAAATATAAATTACCAATCCATGGAACAGTACTGATGTCAGATTTAAGCACCAGGATAGAACTGGTGGGAAACCAGAAAAGTTAATAGCAACCTAACATTCTACTACTTGTAAGAATCTTCACCTTTCAAATTTATGAATATATTAAAGAAGGTAGACTAAGGTAAATCTTCCGTGAAATAATTAACATGACACAGGAATAAGAAAACCAAGAAACAGAACACAAAATTCATCATCCAAATCAGGATGGTTTTGAAAGTATGAGGCTTAGCTAATAATTCTGCAGGGACAACAGTTATAAACCTAGGTGTCCAGGGCAAACTAGGATGTACGGTCACTGTGGGCATTTCCTGAAAAGTTAGAAAGCTGAGTAACAATCCATTACCTTAATTACATAATTTTTTATACATCTGATTAACTTACTCATCAAATACAGCAAAGGAAGTTGCAACTGGATTAGTTCTAATATTCAAATAACTTTTCTTCTTTAAATTAACTTCTGCTAAACCAGTTTCTTCATTTATAGTAACTTCTGGCAGCTGTACTAGAAAAAGGCAAATATGTGAAGTAAGTCTCTCACTGTAACAAATACAGGTTTCTACGCTTTATTAATTCACTTTTCCCTCTTTAAATTGTTTAGAAGTATTTTAAAAATTAGGATAATTGGGGCGCCTGGGTGGCTCAGTCGGTTAAGCGGCTGCCTTCAGCTCAGATCATGATCCCAGGCTTCTGGGATCGAGTCCCACGTCCGGCTCCCTGCTCAGCGGAGAGCCTGCTTCTCCCTCTCCCTCTGCCTGCCACTCTGCCTACTTGTGCTCTCTGTCAAATAAATAAAATCTTTTTAAAAAAATAAATAAAAATTGGGATAATTAAGGTAAATTTAGTGGAAATAAACTTTTTTTAATTTAGAAACTCATGAATGATCACTTAATATTAACAAAAACCTTTAAAAAGTTTGATAAAGTTTGACAAAACAATATTCTGACACTAAGAAGGAATGGTGCCTTTTATTAAGGTTGCTTACCATTTTTTAAAGCTGCTAACAAGGCAAATGTACAAGCATCCAAGATGTTCCCATCATAGTCGAGGCAAATGATATCACAGTATAGAACCCAAGAAAGCTAAAACAGAATTTACACAAAGTGTAAATTAAAGGACTTCTGGTGGGTAGAGCATGGTATTTGTTTCAACTTACAAACCACAGAATCCTTGGTTAGACAAGCACGATGATCTTCAAGGCTCAAAAACTTAAAAAAAATTCTACAAAGTATATAACCAACCAAGTAGACAGGTTTGGTTTAAAAAAAAAAAAAAAAGCTGGCTTTTAACTACCAAGCTGACAAGTAACATCTAGATTTCCATTGAGAGCTACAGATATAGAAGGAATTTGCATTCTTGCTAAGTTAGCAGATGAAAGAAATGCTTTTGGAAGTCCTAAATGAAGTCCAAAACATACTTTCCCACAGAAACCTTAATATATGAAATGGCTAGGCTTTACAGTGCTAATAAATTTGTATATAATCGAATAAAAGCTTCTAGGTCCTAGTCAACTTAGTTCTAAATTTTAGACTTGAAATGTGTAGTGTGGATTTACCCTAAACACATCAGCTGATCAGATACTGATCTATATCTGAATTATTTGTTGGAAACAGGAAAAAAGTTACTTCAGCTTAAAAAGTAGCTCCCAATTAGGTAATAAATTACTCGAAACTTTTTTTTATGAAATACATGGTTTATTTAGATAGTTACAGAGTAAGCTGGATTTTTTTTAAAAATAAATTACATCTAAAGACATTCATATTTAAGGCCACTGGTTTATTATTTTAATTTCCCTGTTCTCTTCCCCTAAAAAACAATTCAGAATTAATAAAACCTCATAGTTTCTTTATTCATCTTACCTTTCCTGTAGAAATGCATAAGTCCGCTTTCTGAATTATCTGTGAACTTGATTTAATAACAAAGCACAATAAATTAAAGGTCAAAAACTCTGAAAATGAATGATAGATGTTATCAGGATGATCTTACTTTTCAATGACATCTGCAATGAACTGGCTAGCCACTTGGGCCTCTTCTCCAGGAGGTCCAGACCGAAATCTCGATGAACACAGAGGTGGTAGATCCACATTAGGAACTGAAAGAAACACTCTGCAGCTATGAACTAAACTTCACCTCTGGTTTATGGAAGTTTTATTCTCAATCCACTGCAAAGGTGACTGTAGCCATAGATAGGATTTGCAAGTGGAAAGCATTGTGATACACCAATTATTTCTTTTCTGGTCTTTGTAATTCTCTCAGGCTTAGATAAAATCTATTTCCAACTTTTTTTTTTCCACACAAATACCAAAAATATAAAAAGCATCTATTAAGGAAGGCCTCAATCCCCAAATCCTTCAGAAAAAAATAAGATTTCTTCCAATATACCTCAATCTGTAACAGCAGATAGCCTTTGTACTCATACCCAACTGCCTACATTTTTAAAAATGTTGGTACCTACCATAAAGAAAAGATGGTCCAAGGCAAGAAGAAAATTGCGTAGTGGTATAAATGAATATTTATGGAAACCAAAGTTTGTGATTACAACCCTTTCCTAAGAGATTGTTTTCTTGGTTGATGACATCTGAATGTATAAACAACTGATCAAAGCTGAAAATGTTACAAAATTCCCTGTATCTTGCTTATTAGGCTATCTTTTAACTAAACTTTTCAGGAATCTGCTTCATTCCAATATATTTCTGAATCTTCTACATTTTCTTAAACTCAGCTACTAGGACTGAACTACAATATTATCATTAAATGTATTATTAAAGTATTTGTATTAAAATTAAAAAAACCATTTAACTTACCAACATATCCTTTATCAGGGGCATCTGTGGGTGGTGCTGCAAATTCCTAAAGAAGCAAACAAATGTTTCCTATGAAAGAAGCTATTCAATAATTGTGAAGACAGCTTAGCAATCAGTTACAGAAACCTGCAGCAAAGACCATTTTAGCCATCTACTGTGCTTATTAGGGAGTCCTATTGGGCTTATAAGGACATTGGCACAAATCCTCATATTCGGTCTGCAAGGTTAAAAAGGCAGCATAGCTTAGTTACCTACATTCTAGTGCTACTAATCAAAATTATATGGGGCTCTTTTAAAAAAATATAGTAATTGGTTTTCTTCCTCTCATTTAGTAGCAAAGAATCTGAATTTAAACCCAAGGTGATCCTTAACACAGCCAGATTTAGGAAGTGATAAAGTGGTAAGAGCAAAAGCCTGGGACTCACTGACCTGGTTTGAATGTCAGACCCACACTTTTTGGCTGAGGGACTGTAGTCAAATCATAGAACCTCTTACCATTCAACTTTCTCATCTGCAAAATGAGAAATTAATATGACCTACTTTTAGGGATTCTTAATGAGGGTCAAATGAGATATTATGTCCCCAGCATAAAAGGTGGCACAATTAAGTGCTCAGATCATATTTATTGTCAGATATCACCCCAGCTTTATCACCCTGAGGAAGAATCTCAACTTAGGTTACTTTAAGTAATCACAGTGCAACATAGTGAAAAAAGCACAAGCTTTGGAGTCAAAGTTATATCTAAGTTCTAGTTACGTTCCTGGACAAGTTACTGAACCTCACGTAAAACAGAAGACAGAAATTATACTTCAAGTGATTGTTTTCATGATTAAACTAGTAATTCTGTAATAAAGCATCTAATTTAAGGTGCCTGGGACATAAAAGGTACTCAGTAAAAAGTGGCTCTTATTCCCTCAAGCTTTTCTCGGGAGCAGTCTTAATTTTCTACATTACTTGCACAAATTAAATGCTATCACTGGATAAAAGAATGTCACCAAAAATCTCCTTCTCAATAACAACCAAATTCTTAAAAAATTAAAGGTAGTGAGGATTTTTAAAATGGTTTCATTTCAGCCCATTTGATGCATGTTCATAAATTAAGAGTCACTGGACTTGGGTCATTTTAGGAAATGAAGAATACTAAAAAACTGACACCTGACTGCCTAATCAACAGAATTATTGGTGTAAATTACAATCTAATAAGAATATGAAGCTAATTTGGTAATTTGAATCTCAGTAAGACATATTAAACCTACCGCCTTAATTCCACAAATTACTGTAGTATTTCCCAGCTTCACTAAAGCAGAACCATCTGCAGTACTAATTGAACCTGAAAGATAATAAAATGAAAAAGTCCATGGAAAGTGTTCATTTTCTACATAAAATTTTATGTTGCTATATATCTCAGTTGCTTATGAAAATTTATTCCTAGCTCAAGTCTTTTTTAAATGATGTAACTATTTTAAAATTAGTGTTTTTGGAATTATTCACCTATTCTTGAATTTGAATCATTTGCATTCGGTCACAGAACTGTCCTACAGAAAAAAATCTCTTGACACAAA